AAAATATTATTATTTTTTAATGATTATAATGGATTTCTATTTCTTCATTTATCAATTTCGTCAATTATATAAATGTTGAATCCTGTTTACAATTTTATATTCAATATCTAATTGAACTTTTAGGATTATGAAAATCTTCTTATAACTCTATTCACCTACCATTTTAATACTATACCCTGGTTCATCATCTGTTCCACCACCTCTAAAATTAGATAATGATGGTTTCATACATATATTCACGTATTTGTAGATCTTTAACCGTTTTAAATACATTCTTTTATTCATTACTATAAGTGATTAGGGAAAACTTACCCTCAAAGATTTTTAGAAAAAAAATCTTTATACTGATCCATCAGCTGTGTGTATTATTTGGTAAAACACAAATGAACTTTTTTTTACCTTGTAATTTTCTAATATATTAATTAATAGGTCTTTAATTGCTGTAGCTATATATTTAAATAAAACAAATTATATTTTCCTTTCAAGATTGGTTGAATAAATTATATTGATGTTTTATTCATTTGTTAGGCAATTTAAAGTAGGAATCATTTTATACTTGTATTTGTAGCAACTTTCAGAATATTACACCTTTTTTATATGATCGTTTTTGAGAAACAATTAGTATGTTAATTATGCATTATTGCTTATTAAAAAATTGAGAATTTTTTCAAATTTATTCTAAAGATTTGCAAAATTAGAAAAGATAACCTTATTATCCAATTAACAAAATTAATTCATCATTCCAAAATTAATCATAGAATATCAATTCTATATAATTAATTAATTATTATAAATGAATCCAAATGAGTTTTACTTTAAATTTTTATATCAAACTAAAATCATCAAATAATGAAATATACTGAAAAATATGCAATCTTTTAATTATCTGATTTTTTATGAGTATTCTCCTTTATTAAAATACTTGATTTCATTCTTCCTTCATTTCAAGAGCAATAAAAAAGAAGAAAGGATATTTATCCAAATGGCTGTATTTTAATTTGACATTATAATGGAATGTTTATATAGTTGGATCTGCCACAGGAGGAACATATATCACATAAACATTTAAAAATAAATTCTATTAAAAATGTTGATTTAACTTCTTTTAAGGTGGAGGATCGCATTATTGATGGATACCATTAATAATGAAAAACCTATAAAAGGACTTAATGATATTATTAATAATATAGAGTTAAAAAACCATTTCGATGGGATGTATAGAATGCTGATTGTTTTAATTAACATAAGTATCAAGAAGTTAATCTCAACTTTAGAGGAAAGCTTGAATAAACATGTGCTTAATAATAGAATGAAATTAGAAAGAATTTTAATTTTTTTAAAAAAGCCAAACTATAAGGAGAATAGAAAAGACAAATTTGAAAATTAAGTCAATCAAATAAGCTAAACCATATATCATTTATATTAGGTTTTCAAGTAACTCTATTGATCTAAAATATTTTCTTTTTCCCCTTAAAATATTTAAAAAAAATAGATAGATTTGAAAAAAAAATTATTCTTAAATTGAAATAAAATTGAATGTGAAAAAGAATGCTTCTTTCTGGAAATATATCAAAATTTCAGTAATAACACATCTTGTTTGAGATATTCCATACATTTTATTCATTCATTCAGAAAAAAAGTGGATTCAATTTTCATGCAAAATTGTTATATTTCTGCTATATTGGTTGGATTATGATTTGACATCTCACTCAAAATTTTATTTCAAAATAGGTTTTAGATTTTAACTTAAATTAAAATTTTCAGGATAAATCATAAAATATTTTTTTTTACCTGATATATGATACATATAACATAGTTTAATTTTTACTACTACAGATTGAATGAAGATTGATTAGATTAATATCTGCGATTATTAGATTTCTAAATTGAATCAAAACAAAATTATGAATTATTTATAAATCATTTTTCTAAAAATTAAACCACAATAATTTCGGAGGAAAATGAACCCAAAAGAACTAAGTATTATCCATCTTGGCTCAAGATTGCCTTGCAATAATCTCTTGTAATGTCTATTTTTTATAATTGTTCAATCTCTAAATTTTCTTTTTTTTTGGTTGAGAGCTTTTTATTTGCTTTAATTTGAAAAAAACATAAACTACGGTTTTCTTAGAAGACAAGCCTATTTTTAATTTTAGAATAGAAAGGATTTATATTTTGACATTGGGATCCTAAATTTACTGAAAAATGGATTTATTTTGTGTAATTATGAACAGAATTAGGCCTATATACATAAAGTTATTTTCCATTGTATGGAAGGAATATAAAGTCATCATTGTTCAGAAACTGTAGTTACCTAACTGGAAATTCGATTTTAATTGTTTAAATCATAATCCAAATCTAAGTAGTTTGTGACTTTTGGATAACGAAAATGTCTTTATTTTAGCTACATGAAATCAACTTATTTCCTGAATCATTTAAGGATAAAGCAATAATCATTATATTAACGCCTAGAGTCTATTAACAACACCATTATTGATCAGTCTTACCTGACATTTATCCTACTCCACCCAGCTTACCAAGAGTCCAAAATTTAATTTACTAGTCGTTGCCAGCCGATACTATGAGGGTATTTGAATTATTAAATAGAATAATAATTGTACCTTAGACATGCCCTTTACATTTTTAGATATATTTAGCTTATGAGATTAGTTATTTAGACCAAATCATGATTGAAGAATCCTATGAGCCTGAAACAAATTATTCCCTAAATTATTCCCTTTTCTTATGAAAAAACTTAAAGACTGTGGTTTTGTTATGTCTAATAACTTAGATTTATTTCAGGATCATTTGGCTATTAAATTAAAAAACTCTCATTATTAATTCTTCTGATAGTAATAGCATTGAATTTGATTCATCTAACTCCATAGGTATATTCCACCTATATCTTTTTGGGATGGGATTCTAACTTATTATAGAGCATTAGAATGATTATTATTGCTGACCAATTTGCTGCATTATTTGATATCCAACTTTAAAAATCAATAGATAATAAATTTAATAAAGAAAAAATGAAATTACTATCAGAGAAGAATAACAATGTAGCAAAACTTGCAGAGATAGAAAAAATGAGGTTATTTTGAAAAATAATGGGTTTATACTCCTTTTATAAAACCTTGAAGCAAAAAGTAAATCTTTAGATAATATCAAACTTTTGTGATTAAAGTCATTTTAATTATTATGGTTTGTTTTTCATCAAAATTCATGATTAGGTTAGTTTTTAGATAATCTTGATTATAATTCTATCAATTTGAAAATTTCCATCATTTGGATTTTTCACAAAAACAACAGAAAAAATACACAATACTCTATTAATAACATGAATTATATAATTGCAACTTTGTTAATTTGTCAGAATTGTATGTAACTTTCCAAATTACAACTTCTTCAAATGATTAATATAAGGTGCAGCTCAATGTACGCAATAGTGACAAAACAAAACAATTAATAAAAACCAAATAACTAATCTCCATCCGATATCAAATTTTTGATCCTTCATTTTCATTTAGAATACTGATCGCTACATTTTTGAGTCATCCAATTAAAATTCCCTATATTCCATTCTTTATACAAATATCCTTATTATCATTCCCTTTTATAAAATTCTTGTGACAATTTTTATTCCTTTACTTAATTCTATCCAACTTGCTCTTTTTCTTTTTCCCCTTCTCCCCTACCAACCCACATTTAATTTAATCTTATTCATCTTAAAATTCGTTATTTAATTCTCACATTTTAATTACAGCAAAATTAAAATGTGAAATATTTTGAAAATTAGCTTTAATCACTGTTTTATTTTAATGTGCTTATATTGAATATCTCAAAATATAGAATAATTATTGGAACACAATACATCTATATCAATCATCAATTTAACATATTAAATTTTAGTTTAAACAATTAATTCATAATAACGATTAATGTTTTAGAAAATTTCTATTATTTAGATGATGAGGATTTTAGGTGGGGAATGGACACTTAAAAAAAACCCTTTAAGAAAATGGCTAGCTAGTCATTTGAAAAAGTAAATTTGCTTTCTATTTTGTTGAGAAACTCATTCAAAAAAATATATATCATTAAAATACATTTTTATGAAATTATTCGATTATATCACTGGTTTTGGTTTTTTTGACAATCTGTAAGTCCATATTTGAACAGAATTAATCATGGAATTTCATATAATGAATTATTATCCATCAATTCCGTAATGTATTTAGGAAATTAAGAACTATCAAAACTCTAAACTAAAAATCTCAATAAACAAACTCTTCCGACTGATCATTCATTAAATCTTAGATATAATTAGAATGGATTTACATTCATACTTTCTTTATTTGAATGAAAAATAATGCTTAATCTTGAAGGTAACCAATTCATTTTCTTTATAAATTACTTTTAATAATTTAAATTTAATTGTATCAGATTATAATTTAAAGATTTATATCAATGTTTTACTTAAACTGTCAAAAGTAAATTCATAAAAAAAGCAAACTATATTTATTAATGTTTTGAATGATATTTGAATGTTAAATTTGAATATTTTTAAATTATTGAAAAATAAATATGCATCTAAAAACAAATTAAATTCTATTCTGTCTTATTTAGACTTAAGTAATAAATACAATTGAAATTTATGGATTAACTGAATACACAACCAGAAAATAATTTATCATAAACCATCATCCCACTATTCTAAGATAGTATATGTCTTCACTTTTATAATATGTTTTGCAGTCATTATTTCATCAGAATGCAACTCACATTTCTTCCAAGCTGATTTGAATATATACTCTAAGTTTTGCTCTAGTCCTTAATCTTCTTTGATCCTTCTTTTATACGATTCATGGCACTATCTGAGATATCTCTACCTCTTTCCAATGTTTTATATATTACTTGATCTCATTAAATTTGATATTTAATAATATTGAAGGATAATAAAGATCAATTGATCGTTAGTATTTTTAGGCATTCTTAATATAGTTTTTAGTATTTTCTTTTTTAATTACTAAAGACGAGAGATAATTCAATCATATTAGAATAATATAAAAATGTTTAATCACATATTAAGTTAATAAAACAAAGATTAATTTTAATCTTATTTGAATTCTTAATTCGAAGTTTGATTATATGGAAAAGAATAGTTAGACTCAAATCTACAAGGAATATCTATATTGCTATATCTTGAAAGTGGAAGAGGGTAATTTGTTAATAACAAAATTATTTCATATATATCATGTTGTAGCATAGTCTGTAATTAAAAATAAGCACTATTTAAATATTCAGGCTTACTTATTCAAAAGTTTAAATATAAACGAACTAGTTATCAAAAAACTAAATTATAATCCAAAGTTAAATACGGCGTTTTGCACTTTCACTTCCTTTTTTGGATAAATAGAAAGTGTATTGGTATTACCATTTAAAATTCTGAAGAGATTTATTTGGAGATCGGCTTTTGTGGAGTTGTTGTTATTATTAATGGCTACAATTATTATTTTATACTTTTGCTGACGATATGTTATTTTTTATGCTCTAAGTTTGCATTAGTAATTCTTGAACTTAATGACCTGTTCATTAAATCTATATCTTAGATGGTATTCTTTATTCGGTTAACAATATGTTATTTAGTGAATTAGCGGAAGGATTATTTGAATTTATTATTTTCTGAAACACGGCAAACCCCGATTTATTTAATCTTAATTAAAGTATATTTGAAGTTAATTGGATTAAAGAATATAATTTCATTTGAAAAGAGCATAAATTTGAAAATCACCAAATTTTGAATTATTAATTTTTATTATCAACCATTGAGCTCTTATTATTGAGAATTTAAATAATTTTGAAACATTAAATTCTTTATAACCTTATGTGAAAATACATAACTATCTATTAATATCATGATTTATATCATATCGACTCAAGTACGTTTGATTCAAGAATGGCCACAGCATAGGAATAGGACTATTTTGAATTTGTTATTAAAATTATAAGATTTTTCAATAAAATTTTCATCTCATTCAAGAGTTGCGATTTGAATGAATGCATATTTATTTAATAAAATACAATTAGAAGTAAACTTTAACATACTAGGAAGAATTCAATTATTTTGTTCATAATGAACCTTCAACAGTAATAGGTTATTTTATGGAAAAAATGAAGAATTTAAATTAGATATAAACAATTACGAATAATAGTAATTTGAAACACAAATACATTAGAGAACAATGAAATCAAAAACTAGTTCTTCTAGCAGAAGAAAGAAACATAGAGATTTCATAATTGAGTTAAATCTGAAGAATATACATCTTAATTTTTGGTATATTATAATAAATGAATTGAAAATTAACTATTCTATATATAAATTATTTTTTGTTTTTATTTAAATAATATTCCATTCGAATTCATCATTTAAAAGATGTTTTTATTTCTGTGTCTGCTTCACTTAAACACAATTGTTCTATAATTTTAAGTTACTCTTATAATTCATTAGTTGAAAATTCAATATTATCTAATTTTATAGGAATAAAAAGCAATACAAATTATAATAATTATTAAAAAGCAAAAATAGATTAAGAATTATTTTATATTGAAATAAAATATCGTAAATGGAAGATCAAAAATAAATTGCTATCAAAAAAGTTTTTATGAATTCTGTAAGCAAATGGGAAGGCACTTGGGATACCAAAATACTTTATTGGGATGAAGCAAAAGGAAACTTTATGAAGATGAAATTGCAAATTTTGCTTACCAAACATAAGGAACTAATATATTAAACTTAATCCGGATTTGTTTTAAGAATGTAATTTGTTCATAAATAAGTGATTATGCCTAAGAAATTTTAGAATAACCCAAAATTATGACAAATTTAGAATAATTAAAATTTCTACAGTGGCATGGTTAGATTGGATAGGATAACAAAAGGTAAGGAAAATGGACAGCAACTTGGGATGGGGAGATTATTGCTTATGTTGGAGGAATGTACTGTCATGACGGTAAAAAGCAGGGCTTATGGAAAGAACTGATAGAGAATTTTTGGAGGTATTTACCATTATTACTAAATATCATTAAAGTCGTGCATAAGTTTTTGAAGTTGGAAGCTATTAAAATGATGAGAAAATAGGTTTATGGAAATACATATAGAAGGAAAAGAATATGTAGATAATAAATTTAATATTTGCGAAGCGGAAGTGGGCTATATAACGAATAAGGTTAGAAAGATGGGAAATGGACAGAGTTATTCGAAAATTTTTTTGAGTAAATAATTCATATTCAACATCCCTTAGATCAAGTTAAGTGTTTTATCAAGGGATTTATAGAGAAGGCATAAAAATTGGTAAATGGATCATAATTTGGAAGGATGAAGAAGTGTAAAAATATTATTTTAATCAAAATTTAATTTTAAGTGGTTGGGGGAATTATGAAAATAATGAGAAGAATGGATTATGGATAGAGTTGAGTAAGGAGTTTTAATAGTAATAAAATTAAATTTTGATTACTCAATAGAGATAGTTAAGTGACTTATGCTGGCTTATATCAAAATGGTAAGAAAATAAATAGATGGAACACTTATTATAATTAAAAAAAAATGTACAGACCTTGTATTTTATGGTAGTGGAGGGGGATTCTATGATGACTGCTTCCTAAAACATGGAAAATGGATAGATTTGATCGAGAATTTTTCTAAGTAATTTAATTCAACATTAAATTTTAGTGATCGTTAAATTACTTTAATAGGTCTATATAATAAAGGATAAAAGGTTGGTATTTGGGATTGGGAAGAATTAAGCCATTTCTCTCGATTTAAAAAAATGTAGTTTAATAATTACATGTAGAAGCGGAGGGTTGTATAACGGCTAAGGATAAAAAAATGGAATTTGGTATGGATTGACTAGAAATTACTCATAGTAATAAATTACTTCTCCTCAATTATAATAGTATAAGTGAAATAACTTCGAAAGGGAAATATAAAAATGGGAAAAAAATTGGTAATTGGAATTTATTTTTTTTGGATAAACAGATGTAGATATATGATATATTCTTATTTTATTCTGTTAGTGGTGGAGGAGAATATAATGAAAAGTCATTAAAAAATGGAAATTGGATTGAGGTTGATGATTTTTGGGTTTTCTGGTATTTTTCGTGCCATATGAATAGTGAATCATCACTTTAGGGTGAATACTTAAATGGAATAAAAATTGGTAAATGGATTATTAAATGGGAAGGCAAACAACTGTATATAAATTTATGAAAATTTTAGGGGTGGAGGATAGTATGATGAAAATAATTTGAAGAATGGAAAATGGATTGAGTTAAGTTAAGCATTTTATGAGTAATAAGAATGAATTTTATTTTTTTTAGAGACAGTTAAGTCACTCATGCTGGCTTATATCAAAATGGTAAGAAAGTAGGTAGATGGAACATTTATTATAATAATAAGAAAATGTATATAGGATTTATATCTTATTATTATTAGTGGAGGGGGATCCTTTGATGAATGCTGCCTAAAACATGGAAAATGGATTGATTTGATTGATAATTTTCATTGGTATCATTTTGAATAAATTTTAAATTGAAATTAGTGATAAAGAAGTAACAGTTTAGGGAGAATATTTAAATGGGAGAAAAATAGGTAACTGGGTATATATTTTGAATCATAAATAAATGTAAGACAATCTATAACATATATTATTATTTTTATAGTGGAGGAGGTCTATATGACCATCAAAGCTAGAAGCAAGGGAAATGGGTGGAACTTAGTACTCATTTTTGTGAGTATATATTTTCTTTCCAAGGTTTAGAGTTGAGTAAGAGACTAATTAGGGTGTTTATTAAAACGGTCTAAAAATTGGAAAATGGATTAGTCTCAAAAAGGGGTTTGAGAAACAAAGTGTTATGGAATATTGAAAAAATTTAGCTATTTAATACATATTAATATAATTCAAAACATCAAATTATTTTATCAAAATGATTATTCTTAAGAATCCTACAATTACAATCTTATGATGAAAAGGTCGACCACCACTACAACCAATTTATACAAATTTTAATATAATATATACACTTCGCTTAGCAATTTAATTTAAATGATTCTGACATTTTTCAATAGGTTATCATAATCTATACTTGTATTTAATAAGCCTACATAACGAATCAATATATTTGTTAATGAATGTCGAAATTCAAAAATTAATATATACTTCGCTCTTTTTTATACGTTATTCCAATTCTTTGTTATATACAGTACGAATAGTTTAAGTAGAGAGGTCTCTAAATTATATTTAGATGTAAATGCATAGACGTATGGTAAACTTGGAAAATAAAAAGCAAACCTCAATTTGATGAACAGTTAATAATCCAAAGCAAGTTTGAATACTTAAAATTAATTAATTAATTAGGAGAAATTGAAACTCTTTTGTATAAATGGATGCTTTGAACCAATTTTAATTATGTATTTTTTTGAATCAATATTCTTGTTTAATTCTCTTATATATAGAATGTAAATAGAATATAATTTAAAAACACATTATTTAAAATAAGAAGTTTAAATATATCCTAAGGAAAATTCTCCCCTAATTTTGCTTATCAATGGAATTTACAGCTTGTATTAAGTTTAAAATTTTAAGAACATATTAGAAATTATTTTTAAGAATTTAATGAATAATCTTTAGTAAAATTTGTCATAAAAGCATTCTTAAACCATTTTATCACATATTGATCACTAAATGGCTTATCTAATGACTAATTATTGGATTATATGGAATAATAAAGAAACAAGGGTCCCAAGTATTATATCAATTTAGTTTTACTAGATTAAACTTCTGGGTTGTAATTGTAGCGAATTAATTGTTGAAGAGATTCCACTAAATTGTATTTCACTGTAATATTTTAAATAACAATAAATTGCACATTCTTCTGCAAGGTTTGTTTATATTGAGTCTACTCCTAAACTCAATTGTCTTTTAATCATATAATTAAACACCTAAATACACAAATTGCGAAGGTTCTTAATGGGTACGAGATGCAATTTGTTTCGCGTAATATATATAAATTAGGATTTATTGTAATTGAGGAGATAAAAACGGAATACAAAAAAAACAAATTGTTTGAGTCATCAAATATATGAATGAATGAATGAATGAATGAATCAGTCTATTAATTTGTTTCTTCAAATGAGATGTCTTTTGTTATTAATTAAAAGAGCTTCACAATATTAAAATTGCATTAATTTACTGCCCATGTTTAGAACTTTATTGAAATAAAAAGCTGATAACTTCTTCAAATTTTATTCCAAAGTAGAATTCTTCGAGCTGCAATCAAGATTACTTTATTATTTCTATTCAAATACTAAATTCTACTAAACTTATTTAACACATATTGATTTTAATATACCTAATAAAATTAATCCAGATTTCTACTCACTACGTTATTGAATGTCAGAATGGTGTTTATAACTATACTTTGTATAAATCATTTTGATTTATTTATTTCATAGGATAAACTTAATGAAATATAAAATAAAAGACTAAAATTAAATAAATAAGAATCTTTACCAAAATAAGATGATAATATGATTTGAGCAATAACTAATATCATAATAATTTTAATTATGAATGTTTGGAAATTATCATTATGTATATTAAACAGTAATTGAAAAAACTATGCCACCATAATAACCCCATTTCATATTAAAATCACATAATTGTGTATATACTAAGTTCAAATTAATAGGAAAATTTAATAATTCTTACCTAATTCTAAAATACTTAGATCGAAGTATTATTCTACTTTGTTTATAAATAAATTTTCTATAAAATTTAATATAATTCTGATCATAAACAATAAATATAAATTTAAAGAAGCAAATCTAATCGGATATTATTTCAATTTACTTTAATTAGGAAGTCACATATTTAAATATCATAAGAAATTTCAAAGAATTTAGAAAATGATAATTTGTTCTTGATTATATTAATAACTTTTGTTCAATTTTGTTATCAGTCATATTTTATGTTCCAAAAATAACACCAACATGAGTTATCCATAAATTCATTAATTAATCATGACACAACATTTCCTATTGGGTAAAAAATTCTTATTGCTATAATTCAATTTATCTGTAAATTTATTCCAATATAAGGATTATACAAAAGTAAAATATAAATGGGCTTATTTATGGATGATAATCTAAGGATCCTATAACTTAACTTGTAGTTATTATTTTTTCTGAACATAATCAAGCTAGTAATAAATAGCGCTTTTTCAATAGGTAAGACTATGTTTTTGAAATCCTGAATAATTTGTAGTTATTACTTTATAGATTTTAACTTAACCAAAGATTTTGACAAATTATGGAGGCAGACTTGTAAATAATAATAAAAGTGATGAAATTACTATGATCTTACGAGATTTATAAGATATTTAAGCTTCTCTTTCAATTTATTTGAATTCAAAAATTGATACGAAAACCTTCAATTATTAAATTTCTTTATATAGACTAGTTAATTTGAAGGAAAAGTAATAATAATTAAAAAAAATCTAGAATGATTTATTTTTATATGAGTGGAGATATATTAATTTTTTTTCATAAAATAATGATTTTCCTTATTTTCAAAATATTAAACTTTAATAAGTTGAATTAATATCATTTTTTATTATAAACTTAAATTAGATTGCATCTATATCTCATCTTTTTAATGCCATCACATTTGCTTAATTCAAAGAAAAATAAACAAATTAAAAGAATAAATAAATTACAAGAGTAAACCACTTTAATAAACCTTAGGCAAAATTGTTATTGATATTTAAAGCATTCCGTAAATTAAATGAACAAAGAATATACTCCCTCATTAAAAAGTTTATTATATATCCCTTTGATTTCAGTTTCCATTCCATCCAAAATGCTCTCTATTTATCAATCAATTTGTAAGTATCCAAATAATTAATTCTTAACAATCTCAATAAGTTTTGAATGTTGATCTCTAGAGAAAAACCAAAATATGCTGTCCTAAAACTTCTTTTTTTTAGTTTTGTTGTATTTTTCCATATATTATGTTACTCCCTAAATGAGTTTTCTTAAAGTAACAAAACCATGATAATGATAATGGAATCCACCTTAGATTTTTGTATTTTAAGATATAACCCTTGAAAATCAAGATTATGAATATTTACAAATTTTATATAATTAATTGAATTATACGAGCCTTTCCTTGATATGCATCTAATAACATATAATATACATGTTAAAGAAATTAAGAGCATAGTAATTTAGAAAACAGATGGATACCTTCAAGAAGAAATTTGGATTACCATTTGGTAGATCCAAAATTATTATTCTTTTTTTAAATAATACTATTTCTCAAGTAATTAAATTAAATCTGTTCTCTACAAATAGTACGAATTTTGATACAATAGTACTTAAAAATGATCAGATATTCTTTAATGCTATTGTGCTTAAATAATTGTTTGATATGGATCACAACTTTGACAGTGGCAAGTTCNACAACATTTCCTATTGGGTAAAAAATTCTTATTGCTATAATTCAATTTATCTGTAAATTTATTCCAATATAAGGATTATACAAAAGTAAAATATAAATGGGCTTATTTATGGATGATAATCTAAGGATCCTATAACTTAACTTGTAGTTATTATTTTTTCTGAACATAATCAAGCTAGTAATAAATAGCGCTTTTTCAATAGGTAAGACTATGTTTTTGAAATCCTGAATAATTTGTAGTTATTACTTTATAGATTTTAACTTAACCAAAGATTTTGACAAATTATGGAGGCAGACTTGTAAATAATAATAAAAGTGATGAAATTACTATGATCTTACGAGATTTATAAGATATTTAAGCTTCTCTTTCAATTTATTTGAATTCAAAAATTGATACGAAAACCTTCAATTATTAAATTTCTTTATATAGACTAGTTAATTTGAAGGAAAAGTAATAATAATTAAAAAAAATCTAGAATGATTTATTTTTATATGAGTGGAGATATATTAATTTTTTTTCATAAAATAATGATTTTCCTTATTTTCAAAATATTAAACTTTAATAAGTTGAATTAATATCATTTTTTATTATAAACTTAAATTAGATTGCATCTATATCTCATCTTTTTAATGCCATCACATTTGCTTAATTCAAAGAAAAATAAACAAATTAAAAGAATAAATAAATTACAAGAGTAAACCACTTTAATAAACCTTAGGCAAAATTGTTATTGATATTTAAAGCATTCCGTAAATTAAATGAACAAAGAATATACTCCCTCATTAAAAAGTTTATTATATATCCCTTTGATTTCAGTTTCCATTCCATCCAAAATGCTCTCTATTTATCAATCAATTTGTAAGTATCCAAATAATTAATTCTTAACAATCTCAATAAGTTTTGAATGTTGATCTCTAGAGAAAAACCAAAATATGCTGTCCTAAAACTTCTTTTTTTTAGTTTTGTTGTATTTTTCCATATATTATGTTACTCCCTAAATGAGTTTTCTTAAAGTAACAAAACCATGATAATGATAATGGAATCCACCTTAGATTTTTGTATTTTAAGATATAACCCTTGAAAATCAAGATTATGAATATTTACAAATTTTATATAATTAATTGAATTATACGAGCCTTTCCTTGATATGCATCTAATAACATATAATATACATGTTAAAGAAATTAAGAGCATAGTAATTTAGAAAACAGATGGATACCTTCAAGAAGAAATTTGGATTACCATTTGGTAGATCCAAAATTATTATTCTTTTTTTAAATAATACTATTTCTCAAGTAATTAAATTAAATCTGTTCTCTACAAATAGTACGAATTTTGATACAATAGTACTTAAAAATGATCAGATATTCTTTAATGCTATTGTGCTTAAATAATTGTTTGATATGGATCACAACTTTGACAGTGGCAAGTTCCTCCCACTTAAAAAAGGGCACTATGCAAGCTGATCTTATCTCCTCTGTTTCTATGGCTAGGCTCCTCTATATTACATAATTACTGTATCCCTTTTGGGCAAAGTACTTATGTTTTTGTATATCTTTGTATGGTTGGGATCTTTAAATTCCCTTTTCTTAGTTCCTTCTTGCTTATAGTAAATCTTTCCATAAGTGTATAAGAGCTTCATTCATATTCTATAAATTATTAAATATTTTTTCGTTATTGTTTAGAGATCAAATCCTCATAATCCAGCATTCAGAAAAAATCTCCTTTCTTTTTAATTCTCAAAAAATATTTTATCCTGTTTTTTAAAGAGTCTTTTTGATTACTTATGATGTTGTTAAAGGACTTTCAAAGAAATTTTTTTTGAATGTGATTATTAGATTAATATTTATTATTTAAATTAATGTTTTTCTTTATATTAACCCTTTTAGAAAGACATATAAATATATAGATCATCAGCTTTCCTTTATTCTTCATTTCTAATTTCTCTCCTGAGTACAATGCTTTTCTAGTTTCTTTTTATTTCTTCCTTTTCTTTCATTTATACCAGCATAACTAAATATTTTTTAAATTCTACTTATTTAATTGAAAGTGCATTTCAATTAAATTCTTTGCAGATCCTCTTACTTTAGAAGCACGATTATATCTTGTTAAAAAACAATTTTGATATCATAGAAATATGATTATGTCATAATTCGAACATCCAGAGGAAGTTCCTCCTGCCCCCAATTGTGTTGTGCAAGTAATGGAGGTGAAGAAGGAGTAGATGGGATGTATCTAAAAAGATCAGTAATTGATAAGGGGGAAGAGAATGAGATTTAAGGATACGGCCCCCCAAAACCCGGTCTAAAAGATCGGAGGAAGATTTTGATTTGTGTATTAGTAGTTGGACCATTAATAACTACAGTTTCTTCTAAATGAGGGAAGAATTTTTGAAGATGAGTCTCAAATATGGAGAATACAAGAAACGGAAAAAAGAGATTGAGAATATAAAGAAGACAATGGGATACAGATGGGACACTAAGGGCNTAAACTTAAATTAGATTGCATCTATATCTCATCTTTTTAATGCCATCACATTTGCTTAATTCAAAGAAAAATAAACAAATTAAAAGAATAAATAAATTACAAGAGTAAACCACTTTAATAAACCTTAGGCAAAATTGTTATTGATATTTAAAGCATTCCGTAAATTAAATGAACAAAGAATATACTCCCTCATTAAAAAGTTTATTATATATCCCTTTGATTTCAGTTTCCATTCCATCCAAAATGCTCTCTATTTATCAATCAATTTGTAAGTATCCAAATAATTAATTCTTAACAATCTCAATAAGTTTTGAATGTTGATCTCTAGAGAAAAACCAAAATATGCTGTCCTAAAACTTCTTTTTTTTAGTTTTGTTGTATTTTTCCATATATTATGTTACTCCCTAAATGAGTTTTCTTAAAGTAACAAAACCATGATAATGATAATGGAATCCACCTTAGATTTTTGTATTTTAAGATATAACCCTTGAAAATCAAGATTATGAATATTTACAAATTTTATATAATTAATTGAATTATACGAGCCTTTCCTTGATATGCATCTAATAACATATAATATACATGTTAAAGAAATTAAGAGCATAGTAATTTAGAAAACAGATGGATACCTTCAAGAAGAAATTTGGATTACCATTTGGTAGATCCAAAATTATTATTCTTTTTTTAAATAATACTATTTCTCAAGTAATTAAATTAAATCTGTTCTCTACAAATAGTACGAATTTTGATACAATAGTACTTAAAAATGATCAGATATTCTTTAATGCTATTGTGCTTAAATAATTGTTTGATATGGATCACAACTTTGACAGTGGCAAGTTCCTCCCACTTAAAAAAGGGCACTATGCAAGCTGATCTTATCTCCTCTGTTTCTATGGCTAGGCTCCTCTATATTACATAATTACTGTATCCCTTTTGGGCAAAGTACTTATGTTTTTGTATATCTTTGTATGGTTGGGATCTTTAAATTCCCTTTTCTTAGTTCCTTCTTGCTTATAGTAAATCTTTCCATAAGTGTATAAGAGCTTCATTCATATTCTATAAATTATTAAATATTTTTTCGTTATTGTTTAGAGATCAAATCCTCATAATCCAGCATTCAGAAAAAATCTCCTTTCTTTTTAATTCTCAAAAAATATTTTATCCTGTTTTTTAAAGAGTCTTTTTGATTACTTATGATGTTGTTAAAGGACTTTCAAAGAAATTTTTTTTGAATGTGATTATTAGATTAATATTTATTATTTAAATTAATGTTTTTCTTTATATTATATCTTAAGTAGATTTAAGATTCAACTTCTCTTTCTAATATCTCTATATTAGTATGTTCTTTATCTTAATATAGGTTATAGGAGTATTTTATTTACTGAGAGGGTTAAATTGCCCACCTTCTTATTTTTTATTAGAGGCTTCGATTTTAATATAGAACTACTTATAAGTTTGTTCTTTTGATACTATCCTAAAGTTTTCTCTTTTAATTATTAGATTTGATTGATCTGGAGTAATGACTTTAAATTGTCTACTATTTTGAAAATATTTGATTAAAAGTCACATCGATTTATGATTAATATAAAACTTGAAATTAAGAAAAGAAATTCAACATAATTAAAAAAAAATAATTGAATTTCTAAAATGAGGAAGATGAAGACTTGTATTAGGTTTTTACTTCGTGTGAGGTTGTTGATGAATCTATTTTCCATGTCCTGATTAAAATATTAAAAAGAGAGAAAATTTAAAACTGCCTAGAATTTCTCTTAGAAGATCAAAATCAAAGCCAAATCGAATAAGAAATATTATAGGTAGAAAAATTTATTACTATTTAATAAGAAATAAAGAATAAATTTTGGAAAAAACAAATTTAAAAAAATGATAGTTGTTCTCAAAAAAATTAAAGATCATGAATTTAATAAAAAGATTACTCATTAGAGGAATCTTAGAAAATTAGTTCTATTCACGTGTGGGATGTGAAAAAGGGAAAATAAGGACTATATTATAAGGAGATTGCAAAATAAATTCAGTTTTCTTTTCGCTGATTGGGTATAATTTCAGAATCTAAAAACAGGAAAATAAGTGTTGAAATTATTTGGTCATAATAGAAAGGTTAATTCAGTCTGTTTCTCTCCTGATGGTACTACATTAGCAACTGGCAGTAATGATAATACTATCCATTTATGAGATGTTAAGACAGGATAATAAAATATCAAATTAGAAGGTCATGCTAATGATGTTCATTCAGTCTGTTCTCTTCTGATGGTACTACATTAGCATCTGGTAGTTGTGACAAGTCTATCCGTATATGGGATGTTAAAACAGGATAATAAATAGCAAAAGTCGATGGCCATAATAATTATGTTCAATCAGTCTGTTACTCACCTTAAGGTACTACATTAGCATCCAGTAGCTAGGATAAGTCTATTCGTTTATGGGATGTAAAACAGGATAATAAAAGCCATATTATGCGGTCAAAGTAATGTAGTGTGGTCAGTCTGTTTTTCATCTGATGATGCTATATTAGCATCTGGTAGTGATGATAAGTCTATTCGTTTATGGGATTTTAAGACAGGATAATAAAAAGCCTAATCAAACGGTCATGCTAAAGAAGTGAGCACAGTCTGCTTCTCTCCTGATATTAAGCCAGGATAGTACTATGACAAAATTTATGGAAATAGTGATTATGTTCCATTAACCATTTTCTCTCTTTTTGGTACTCGTAAAAATCTGATATAGTATAAGAATTTACAGGGTTTTTCTAAATAGCTACATCATAATAAATTAATGCATCCTCTAATCTATTCATTTGAGTTATACCTTTGCTATTATAATATACTGAATTTTCAGGATCTTTCTTTATAGCTTAAACATCCTCTAATAATGCTTCTTCTAACCTATTCATTTGGTTATTTTCAAAGATATCATCGAAAAATATTAATTCTCCGTTAAGAAATTAAATATGACAAAGATATACCTTTTTCATACTATATGAGGTGATGAAAAGCTATATTATGATGAGGAATGTGATGATGGAATTATTATTCACGGGTGTCATGAATGCAAATTTCATTTTAAGAATATTGTGTAGATTGTGTAAAAGGGATATGTATAGTTGTATAAATACAGGTTAGATACTTAATTAATGTAAGGTTTCTAATTCTTAATGTGGAGATAGATTGTTATTGAAAAAAGTGAATAATGGAACTGCAAATGACATCCCTTGCCATGAGTGCTGTTAATTTGAATGCTTAGAGGTTGTATTTTTTCCAAGCAAAATAATGTGAAGAGTTCCATTATGTATATGCATTATACATTAAAACTAGTAATTGTTTCAACCAAACAAATGACAATGATGATTAATAAATGATTTTACAATTCTTTAGACTGAGTAAATATCCAAATTTCAGATGTGTGAAAATCCTATACTAATAATTTTGGTGTTCCTAAGTATGGTAATGAATTAAGAGTTAATCAATATGATGTATTTGATGATGGAAACTTATACTGAAGAGATTGAACCTTCATAAAAGCTATGTTGGAAGTTGTATTTTAGCAAAATACTATCTATTACTTATTTAAATTATAATCCTTTCCTTTTTCTCTGAAATTTTAGAAGTTTACTTATTGTTAATTCCCTCGGAAACCTGCCTATTCCATTGTGAATCAAGAATTGTCCATTTTCCAATTTTAATCCTACTTTCGTATTGTCCTCTCACAACTATCAAAAGGATAAATTAATACATAACATTTTTCTTGAAATAGAAAGTCCCACCTTCCGATTTTCATACCATTTGATTATTCTCTAAAGCATCAAAAACTTAGTAGTACCTATTTATTAATCACTTCCTCCTCTTTTTTTAAGCTCTTATTATGTACATGGTTTCATCAATCATCATAATATTTCATCTTTTTTTTCTCCAAAATTTCATATTCGCCACAATTAAACAACCTAAACTAAACTAAATTTATCTAACCTAAAAAGTACTTCCTGTGATATGAGTTTTTAAAGCTTTTGAATCTCTACTATACAGGGGGCAAATTTGTAGGAGTAAGAGTCTGATATACACTTCTCTGCAAAAATTCTGTCTAAATCTTGTAATAAATTTTATTCAGTATCTGAATGAATATGGAAATTATCTTGATCATCCTTGAAGCCTCTAAAGATCCCAGCTTCTTTTTTGAAGGATTAAGAGTTGCCATTCTTTTTATATTTTGGAAAGTCTACTTGAGGTTTGACTGATTAAATAATATAGCCGATTTCATTAGTTATTCTTCAATCGTTTATTTTCCTTTAGCCTGATACCATGTTTAAAAATCATTGCATTTTAATGCTGCTTCTTAATTGAGATTATAAGCATTCGACTTACTCCAACCAACCCTTTGTTCTTTTTAATTTTAAACTCCTTATAGAGTTAGTTGGCAATATATTCTTGGATGATCTGAGAGTTTAGTGAACAGGAGATTTTTCTCACTGTATTCTTGTCCTGGGTAGCAAATGGAATCTAAGAGAGATTACACTACCTTTCCTTGGATTGTTCTAGTGAATTTTAGGTCTGATTATTCTATAATGTTAGCCAATTAGTCGAACCGTACGTTATTATGAATAAAATCTCCACATATAACGATTCTTTAAAGTTACTTTTTATTGAACATTAGATTTTATATCTATAGATTTAAAAAATTTTCTTATTCTTATTTAATACTTATTTGCTTNTATATGCATTATACATTAAAACTAGTAATTGTTTCAACCAAACAAATGACAATGATGATTAATAAATGATTTTACAATTCTTTAGACTGAGTAAATATCCAAATTTCAGATGTGTGAAAATCCTATACTAATAATTTTGGTGTTCCTAAGTATGGTAATGAATTAAGAGTTAATCAATATGATGTATTTGATGATGGAAACTTATACTGAAGAGATTGAACCTTCATAAAAGCTATGTTGGAAGTTGTATTTTAGCAAAATACTATCTATTACTTATTTAAATTATAATCCTTTCCTTTTTCTCTGAAATTTTAGAAGTTTACTTATTGTTAATTCCCTCGGAAACCTGCCTATTCCATTGTGAATCAAGAATTGTCCATTTTCCAATTTTAATCCTACTTTCGTATTGTCCTCTCACAACTATCAAAAGGATAAATTAATACATAACATTTTTCTTGAAATAGAAAGTCCCACCTTCCGATTTTCATACCATTTGATTATTCTCTAAAGCATCAAAAACTTAGTAGTACCTATTTATTAATCACTTCCTCCTCTTTTTTTAAGCTCTTATTATGTACATGGTTTCATCAATCATCATAATATTTCATCTTTTTTTTCTCCAAAATTTCATATTCGCCACAATTAAACAACCTAAACTAAACTAAATTTATCTAACCTAAAAAGTACTTCCTGTGATATGAGTTTTTAAAGCTTTTGAATCTCTACTATACAGGGGGCAAATTTGTAGGAGTAAGAGTCTGATATACACTTCTCTGCAAAAATTCTGTCTAAATCTTGTAATAAATTTTATTCAGTATCTGAATGAATATGGAAATTATCTTGATCATCCTTGAAGCCTCTAAAGATCCCAGCTTCTTTTTTGAAGGATTAAGAGTTGCCATTCTTTTTATATTTTGGAAAGCCTTCTTGAGGTTTGGCTGATTAAATAATATAGCCGATTTCATAAGTTATTCTTCAATCGTTTATTTTCCTTTAGCCTGATATGGTATAGTTACACGAATCTTTTTAATTGCTTATCGTTTTCTTAGATTATATCTTACATAGTTGTACCATGTTTAAAAATCATTGCATTTTAATGCTGCTTCTTAATTGAGATTATAAGCATTCGACTTACTCCAACCAACCCTTTGTTCTTTTTAATTTTAAACTCCTTATAGAGTTAGTTGGCAATATATTCTTGGATGATCTGAGAGTTTAGTGAACAGGAGATTTTTCTCACTGTATTCTTGTCCTGGGTAGCAAATGGAATCTAAGAGAGATTACACTACCTTTCCTTGGATTGTTCTAGTGAATTTTAGGTCTGATTATTCTATAATGTTAGCCAATTAGTCGAACCGTACGTTATTATGAATAAAATCTCCACATATAACGATTCTTTAAAGTTACTTTTTATTGAACATTAGATTTTATATCTATAGATTTAAAAAATTTTCTTATTCTTATTTAATACTTATTTGCTTGGGAAGTAGAAATTTAGAATCATTAAATTTAAGCAACTGTTTCTACAATTTATAGCAATGTAGTCATAATCTGTAAGATTAGGAGGTGTAACCTTGTCAGAGATGTTAGTGAAGTCAAAACATGAGTTTATTCTTATTAAAACTCCTCCTAAGGGTTCAGACTTCCCTTCTTTATGAACAAAGGTGTATGAAGGAGAGCTCTAGACAGAATTTTATCGTGTCTCCTATAGACCAAATAATATGCGGTTAGTTTTTTTGCTATTTGACTGGCACCTTTCTTTATTGAGCCAACATTCCTACTTGTTATTCTAAAAGTGTGTTTAGTTTGTATTATGGTGATTGAAGGAAACGATCTAATCATTTTTATTACTTAGTTTCCCTTATGACAAGTTCTATTTCACCTACCTAGACTTGCCTATAGATCTGGTTGAGTCATTTGTCAGAAATCAGCTTTAACCTTCATTATTCCTTCTCCTCTAACCTTGAGGAAACTCTCTGAATTTTTTCCCCCTGTAGTAACCAGGTTATGGTTGAGGGTTGCTTTCATCATTACTCGACAGCCCATTAAATAACCTTTAGCCCCTCATTCGTTGTTAAATTATCCATCATGCACCCTTAAATTGGCCATTAGATTTTTTTCTGAATCCAAACGTCTCTTTTCTATTATAGGGTTGATAGTTTCTACACTAATAAATTCTACCATTATTATTCTTTAATCATTTCTCCTTTTAATTCACTAAATCATCCATTTTTTCTGTAAAGATTCATAATTTTATCATAATTATCGAACCAGAAATTAAAATATATTATCTTGTTTGCATCATAGATAAAAATATTTATTATAGCATATGTTGCTAAGCACTTTAGGTATTCGTTGGTTATGACTCCTTAAATTATATCAATAGAGATTCGTTTCCGATATTTATGACAGAAATCAGTGAGGCTATTTTTCATCTCCAATCTATCCAAGTTGGTAATTTCAGCAATAACTGCCACCATATCCTTACTACCTTTATATATATATAAAGTATAGTGATGAAAAAGAAGACAACTAATAAAGTATATTGTATTTGGATACCTTTTTATATTATCACTTTCTTAAGTTATTTCTTGTGGAATCTAAACTTAATCTCTTTTTTTGCATAAAGAAATTTTCCTTTCATCATAATTTTTTATATACACAAAAGTCAGAAAAAATGTTTTTAGTTTTATTGAAATCTTACATTTCTAATTCATTAATGAAAAAGACATCAATATCTGTGAATTAATTACATAATTAGTTAATCTTAACTATAATTTTCCTTTCAACATCCGCTATATATATCCCAAAAAAATTACCCTACAACTCTTAAGTAAACAATTTAAATCATTACGGGTTAAAAAATATATAAATTAATTCATTTTCCATTCTTTAAAGCATTCTCATCATACTAAAATAGTCTTGAGAAATAAGTAAAAATTTGAAATAAATAGCTTCTTTTAATAGTTAGCTTTTTTTTAACCAACATTTTTTCCACCATCATGTTTACCTTAAAATGAGAGAAATTTTCAACAATTTTAACCCGATTCCATGTTTTACTCCTGTATTATCATAATAACGTCCTCCTCCATAAATATCATCAAATGGTATGCTATTACAAAATAGTATTGTTGTAATAAGCTTTCCATTTGCCTTATTTTAATCCATCCTTATCTTTCCCAAAAATAAGCTATCGAAATTCTCTATTATTGAATAATAAATACTTAGCATAATGTTCATACTGCTCCATCCAATGTCCAGTTTAACCCCGCTTGCTTAATAATTCTCCCCTCTATCTATTATTTGTCGATTTTCGAAACCTGGGTTTCATTTCACACTTTTTTTCCAATTATTCCATAATCTCCCTGTAATTTTAATTAATAAATTTATTTTAAATTAAACAGAATCCAAGTAGAAATAAAAATATCCACGTATTTATTTCAAAAAATTAATATATATCACGCCTTAATGATAAACTAATACCATTTCTTTCAAACTGTCATATTCCTAAGCAGGTTTGGTCTGTGAAATTTTGGATGGATAATTGATTAAATTTCGATAGATTCCGACGATACTCTTAATCTGTTTTTATCCATATTTTTCTATTGATGCTCCTAATAATAAATAGTTGATTTCTTTTGATTTGACTTATGAATTCATTTCAAAATCTAGTTACATTTTTTTCAATAATGGTATAAGCATGTTCTCTTCATCTATTCCCAAATTTAAGTTTAATGATTATGATCAGAATCTTAATTTATCCTTCAATTTAAAGTTAGCTCAAAATATAATCGTTTTTTCTAATGAATCTTATCATGATAAGACAGGAAATTTTAATTAATCAAGATTAAAATTGAATTCATTTCTAATTATTCAAATAACACTTGAAAATAATTCATCAATAAGTGTAATATAGTTGAATCTGATAAATGCTACATTAAGTTATGTTTCAAGAAGATAAAAATGTTGACTTTCTAAAGATGTCTTAGGTATGAAAAAGTCATAGTGGATAACAGTATTATCAAAATTCTTAAGTAGAGTGTCAATGGAGAGAACACTTAGGAGGTATGAAAAAATTGGGTATGATCATGGTTTTTCATAAGTATATTGTGTTTATTTATTTTCCTTCAAGTATTACAAAAAAAGAGGATTATTAGATAGAAGAAGCAATCTCAGCAAAACGAAATATTATATGAGTAAAATAATAATTTACTTGAATATCCCTACTATGTAGCATTGTAAACTACAATATAGTAATTAATATTATTGATAGATTACAAAAGAAAATTTTCATTATAAAAGCTACTATTAACCTATAATAAATAATTTATTTTAAAATATAGATAGATGCCATTTTAAAGAAAAATTGAATTGGAAAAATATAAGAATTTTGAATTGAATTAGTGAGCAAATAGAATTATTAGATCGTTTGATGAACTTAATAGATAGAAAGGTATGATTAAATCTATTTTAGCCTGCTCAGCTTATAGAAGGTAATTGAAATCTAACTTTGAACAAAAATAAAATGTTAGTGCAGAATCCCAAGAGAGTCTTTTTATTGCTATATATATAAAAATGACGTTTTCATATCATGTCATTACACAAAATATCAACCGAGCATTACGCTTTCATATACTTAGATGATGGTGTGATATAAATCTCTTTAAAAACTTAACTTGAAGAAATACAAGATAATATAGTAAAAAAAAAAAACAACAAAAATATAGATTTTATAAATTTAGTCTTATGAAAAATTACTTTCAGTTTTGTAATGTATTTAGTTAATCCAAAATAAAAGCTCCTTTTAATTTAAATAGCCTCCTTAAATTTATACCTTATTTAGTTATGAATTCACTTTTTTAAATTAAAGCTCCCTCTGCTTAGACGATAGTTTTTTATTGTTCAGAATCAAAATTCTTTGAATGGATGACATTATAATAGCTACCAGATTTTAATGTGTTACTATCAAGTGAGAAGCCTTTCTAATTAACCACAATTTACTGATCATCAATGTTTGAATATTTTAGTCCTGAATTAAAATTCCAGAAACGGATAGACTAATCATAACTACCAGATGCTAACGTAAGATCATCAGGTGCAAAACAGACTGAATAAACCCAATCGGTATGGCCATCCAGTTTAGATAATTATCGTCCAGTATTAACATTCCATAAACGGATTGACTTATCTCTGCAACATGATGCTAGTATAGCACCATCAAATGAGAAGCAGACTTAATTAACCCAATGGGTATGGCCTTCTAATTTAAATTTTTGTTCTCTTGCTAACAAATCCCATAAATAAATAGTCTTATCAAAACTACCAGATGCTAACTTAGTGCCATCAGTAGAAAAGCATATAGAATGGACAATATTACTATGGCCCTCCAATTTAGATTATTATTGACCTTACTTAATATCCCATAAGTATATAGAGCCATATACACTACCAAATGCTAATGTAGTACCATCAGGAGAAAAACATACTGAATATTTAGTTCCACCAGTCCCAGATAATTTTGTTTATTATTCTTTAGTCTAAAAATTCCATAAACGGACAGTCTAATCGTAACCACTAGATGCTAATGTGTAACCATCAGGTGAAAAACATATTGATTAAACAGTTCCATTATGACCTTTTAATTTAGATATTGTTTTTCCTGTCTTGACATTCCATAAGCGTATCGAGTTATCTGAACTAAAAGAAGCAAATTTAGTACTGTCAAGTGAGAAACATATTTACAAAACATTACCTTTTTGACCTTATAATTAAGAGATTTTTTTTCCTGTTTTGACACTCCAAAAACAAATAGATTTATATTAACCACTAGATAATAATATTTTACCATCAGGTGAGAAACATACTGAAAAGATGCTACAACCCTGACGATCTAATATAGATAACTCAAGTATTTTTAAGTTATTCCATTTGCAATGAAATAATTTAGACTTATCTAAATTGATTCCACTTATATCGACGTTGTCAAATTAAGTTCCACTTAAATCACATTTTTCAAAATTAGCTCCAATCAATGAAGTATTTTGAATTTTTATATTTTTAAAACATTATTGACTCAAATCAGCCTTCATTTTAACTAATAAGTTAAGTGAATTTGATCCACATTAAATCAATTTATCATCAATAGCTGTAAGGCATACTAAAAATTTCAAAAATCCAACTATTTCCTCTTCTGACACTATTTTTGTAATTAGTTCCTCAATCGTTTGATTGTATGTCTCGGTTGAAAAATTTATTTTGTAAAAGTCATGTCCAATAATCTTTTTGATTATATTAGCAACTTTCCTTATGTTATCATATTAGGTATATTTTTAAATATCAAATTCTAATAATTATTTAACTTAAACATAGTATTAAAAATTCTAAAGATTCTCAGCCAATTCAAGAAATTCTAGACAATTTGTTATTTTCTCTCTTTTCAATGATTCTATTATCTCACTATAAATAAATTGATCAATGCCTTTTGATTAAATCAAAATTTCAAATATATCCTCCATTTCCAAAAAATAAATATATATAATATTTTTCCATCAATTAATTATAAATAATAATAAATATTTATGTATTAAGGGGACATGTTTTGGATAAAAATGCTTATAGAACATCGAAATTTTGGTTTTATATATTTCATTAGTGAAGCCAAAATTAACCTTCCTAGTTATATATTAATTCTTCATGGTACTGGCAACAACTTAAACTTAGATATTATGAATTTTATTCTAGTTGTTTTTGGAAGTTGCTTAGATAGAAGGAATCTATACTAATGTTAGAAATAAAATTCTCCTATTTTTGCTAGAAAATTCGGTCTACAATATATCAAGAGTTATGCCTTAATTTCAAATATGATTTCCATAAAAATGATTAATATTAAAATTGGGCAAAAAAGATAATTGCCATATTAAAAATGTACTTTTACTTTAGTAGACCAAATTTAGATTAGAAGTTTGTATTTTATTTTTACTTTATTCGAATTACAAAATTACTTTGTAAGTTGATAATTCATAATTTACTAAAATTAGTAATTTACTTTAAAGATCTTTTGTCAAGAGTCTTATCACCTATTAGCATAATAACATTCCTCATCGATAATTTTATATCTTTTAAAATTTTTTTAATTTTTTCCCTATTTTGTGGTTGAGTTATGAATAATTAAATATTGAATTCGTTTAGAATTATTTTGAAAGAATTCAAGCCTAATAAGGGTATTATATGATTAAACCACCAGAATATTGATTTTATAATGTTAGAAAAGGCTCATGAGTGTTTCCCTTTCTTATGTTAGAGTCCAACCTAGGCTATATAAAAATTGGGAAGGGAGTAAAAAAGCTTACTAGAGTTAATTTTCTTATGACGAGCCTTAGAAATACTGATTTTAACTTATCAATAAAAAATATCTACAAAATATGGATCAGATCATTCAGAAATTATTTTAATACAGAATTCCTCTTCTTAACTTAGATTCAGTGACAGGATTTTTTGAATAACATTTATGATAAATTTATAAAGTTATCGATTAAGGAAAGGACAAAAATGCTATTTATTTATTTTAGTTGATGAATAACATAACGCTTGGATTCATCAATATATGAAGTAATAATAGTCTGAAGCAACGACACAACTTATTAATATAATCGAGCAGAAATAAGAACAAAAATAAAATACTATTTAAGTTTTTGGTGTGCTTATGTTTAAAATGCAATTATGAAAACGATAATCTATTCTATATTAGTTCAATTTTTTGGAACACTCTGAAAACTGATGAAAGAAAAATATTATTGAGTTTAATCTTTAAAAAAGAAATAATTTTACTTGATTCTGCATTAATACAAAATGAGAAAGAATATTAAAATCTGAACTATTTTATTCTCTAACTATTGATTTTGAAAGATAAAAAAAGAAAGAATAACGAAGGAACATAAAAATAATAATATAAGTATTTAAGGCAGTAATTAACTGTTAAAAAACAAGGTAGTCATAAATCATTATAGAATTAGCTGAATAGTACATAAATGAATAGCAAAATTTATAACAGCAATCCTATCTTTATTTATAAGAGACAAGGGAACAGTTAATTACTAATAATATGAATAATCAATTGAAATTATTATATTTATAATCGGATTAAGGATTTTGAAATTCAAGAATTAAAGCAAGTATTGAAGGCATTAGATAAAGAGTGTTTTTTATCAAATAAAAAGTTTTGCAACTTAGATTATTGTAGCATGAGTTAAGATAAACATATCAAATTAAAAATTATATAGTTTTTATTATTTATTGTTCCTATCATTTTTTAATTTGTTTAATAGCATATATTATTAATTGATATATAAAGTAATAATTTAATTAAAATAGCTTTACTGAAAGTGTTTCAGTAGGCAGAATAACGATCAACAACCTAATGCTTTCAAGGAGAATTTATTTGAGAAGCCATCTTAGTTATAAAATAAAGTGGAAACATAGTGACTAATATACAAATTATTATTATAAACTTAAGTAACCTCATAAGAATTTTCACAACTAAATTCAAAAATAAATAAATTTATTCTGAGCTTAAACCTTGAAGTCATATTATTTTTTTATTATTTTGAATAAAAGTTTTGCAGTTCTTTGAAGTAATATTATTTGAAAAAGTTTCTAAAACTTTATATTTCTACATTCAAATTTTTTCTTAAAAGATTCTCTAAACATTTTGCTCTCCCATACATTAATAATTTATTTTATAATGTATAATCCTAATTACCAACAACGAAAAAATCATAATTGAAACTTGACTTTGCATGCATTGGTGACATTTGAAGGAGTGTTAAACTGAACTTTGCCAAATAAATGCATAGATATTTAGATATCATAATTAAAAATAGAATGAATATTGGTAAAACTTAATTATGTTTTAGTTGAGAATGAGGACTGAAGAACCTTATCAAAACTTAATTTTAAATGAAAGGAGAGTATTTGTAGGGTAGACTGCAGATCAACTTGTTTGGCTTCAAATGCTCTTAAGACGTCGCTTCCTTATATCAAGGGAACTAATCAAAAATTTTTCTGGTTACTCCCTTAATTTAGACTTTTTGCTATTCTAAACGATTCTAGGTCATCAAAGGATGGAGAAATTAGAACATCAGGAGAAAGAGAACGGTTGATTCATGAGCCCAAAAATTAATCCTAAAATAGAAAATTCTGATTTTGCAAAAATACAGATGTAAGTTCATTAAAGGTAGATTATTGAGATCTTATAAACAGTAAAAGAAGGTCATCTATTATTAGAATTAAACTAATTTATGTAATGAAACATAATTGTTATAAAATAGTAACTTATTAGGGCATATCATTAACTAATAAAAAGGCAAGAACATGGATATTGAAAACAGGATAATCTCATTTGTTTTCTAATAGAAGGAAATGACAATTTCTAAAGTAATGATTTAGTAATCAAAGATCTGATCTAATTGATTACTTAAGAGAAGAATTTGAAAAGCCTTCTTTAAAAAAAATCAATATAATTAAGCTAAACAGAAATATTTTGAAATATCACTAAACTAACAACTTTATGAAAGGTAAAATTAAAAATGGAAACTTCAACCATTTAGGAACAAAATATAATATATGAATACTTTAGGAACTTGCAATAAATTTGATGATAAATTACTGTAAAATTTAATACTCCAGTATGATAGGCGGAAAGGAATTTTGAAAATCAATACTAGACAACAAATCTGGAATATTGAAAAAAACTTCGGTCTTATATAATGACTTCTTAATCCATTTGATTCTTAATGATCAGGAATTTTCTAAAGGTAATAGAAATGCTTTAAACTTAATAACATGGTATAGTGTTAGTAGAAAATTAAAAATTAGACCATTGAAATTTTTACTTAAAAAATTTCTTATCATTTATTTATTATTATAATAATTCTTTAGAAGTTTATTATGCTATCAGCTAAGTATCAAATAACCCCTTATTATTTAAAATTTAAGTCTTTTATGACCATCTATATAATTTTTAAAGAAATTAGTGCAAATTTGATATTTTCAACTCATCTGAATAATTTTTGCATCTAAAAAAACATAACCTCTATTATGAAAGCATTCTTAACAACTTTAATGTCATATTTTAAGTTATTTTATCATAATTGAGTGTCCCTCTTTCATGAATTTTTACTTACTTTTTCTGAATAACCTAATAATAGAATTGATTAAGTATATTCTGACTTTATAGTTTAAAAAATACCTGTAGTTTCTTTGCATTGGGTGGTTTTGAGATTGATGGTCTACTCATTTATTGTTAATAGACAACTCTAAAGTTAAATAATTTCTTCCAATTTTTGTAATTTCTCAAATTTATTTATTTTTTACAATTTTTACTTTTTATAGATAACATTCTTAGCAGTTGTTTATTCTATTGTGAATTTCAGAAGTTTATTTGTTACTTTTAGAGAATTCTAATCTTTTAGGAGAACAGATTATTAAATCAATTTTATAAAGTATAATGTCTGTGTTGCTTAATAAAATGAGGTTCTAATATTTTAAATTGAGATACAGCACGATTTTTTTCATTTTGTTCTTATTTATTTCAATCTTATGGAGTGCATACTATTATATTCATTCAGTTGTGTTGCTACAACTCTGAAATTTGATATATTTGAAGTTTTGTTTTCTTATTACTTATTTTATTACACACTTTTGAATTGATTTCTTAGAAGAGTTGAGACATTCAAATACCTTTAAAATAATAATTCCTCTAATGGATTTATTATAATTCAATTAAATATATAACTCTCTATTGGGTTTGGGGTTTGGGTTTGGGGTTGGGTTTGGGGTTGGGTTTGGGTTTGGGTTTGGGTTTGGGGTTGGGTTTGGGTTTGGGGTTGGGGTTGGGGTTGGGGTTTGGGTTTGGGGTTGGGGTTGGGGTTGGGGATTGGGGTTGGGGTT